AGGTTCCGTGTCACCTGGGTTCTGTATCACCTGGGTTCCGTGTCACCCAGGTTCCATGTCACCCGGGTTCCGTGTCACCTGGGTTCCGTGTCACCTGAATTCTGTGTCACCTGGGTTCCGTGTAACCTGGGTTCTGTATCACCTGGGTTCCGTGTCACCTGGGTTCTGTGTCACCAGGGTTCCATATCACCCGGGTTCCGTGTCACCTGGGTTCCCATGTCACCTGGGTTCTGTGCCAAATGGGTTTTGTGTCGCCTGGGTTCCGTGTCACCCAGGTTCCATTCACTGTGTCACCTGTGTTCCGTGTCACCTGGGTTCCGTGTCACCTGGGTTCCGTGTCACTGTCACCTGTGTTTTGTGTCACCTGGATTCCGTGTCTCCTGGGTTCCATGTCACTGTGCCAAATGAGTTCCGGGTCACCCAGGTTCCGTGTCACCTGGGTTCCATATCACCTGGGTTCCATGTCACCCAGGTTCTGTGTCACTGTGTCACCTGGGTTCTGTGCCAAATGGGTTCCATGTCACCCAAGTTCCGCGTCACCAGGCTCTGTGTCACCTGGGTTCCGTGTCACCTGGGTTCCATGTCACCCGGGTTCCATGTCACTGTGTCACCTGGGTTCTGTGCCAAATGGGTTCCATGTCACTGTGTCACCTGGGTTCTGTGTCACCTGGGTTCCACGTTACTCTGTCACCTGGGTTTCATGTCACTCAGGTTCTGTGTCACTGGGCTCTGTGTCACCTGGGTTCCGTGTCACCTGGGTTCCATATCAGCTGGGTTCCATGTCACCCGGGTTCCATGTCACTGTGTCACCTGTGCTCTGTGCCAACTGGGTTCCGTGTCACCTGGGTTCCATGTCACTGTGTCACCTGGGTTCCGTGTCATGTGGGTTCCATGTCACCTGGGTTCCATGTCACCCGGGTTCCATGTCACCCGGGTTCCGTGTCACTGTGTCACCTGGGTTCTGTGTCATCTGGATTCTGTGTCACTTGGATTCCATGACACTGTGTCACCTGTGTTCTGTGCCAACTGGGTTCCGTGTCACCTGGGTTCCATGTCACTCAGCTTCCATGTCACTGGGCTCCGTGTCACCTGGGTTCCACGTCACCTGAGTTCCATGCCATATAGGCACTGTGTCACCTGGGTTCCGTGTCACTGTGTCACCTGGGTTCTGTGTCACCTGTGTTCCATTTCACCTGCGTTCTGTGTCATATAGGCATTGTGTCACTTTGGTTCTGTGTTCTGTGTCACCTGGGTTCCATGTCACCTGGGTTCTGTCACCTGGGTTTCTTGTCACCTGGGTTCCATGTCACTGTCTCACCTGTGTTTCATGTCACTTGTGTTCCGTGTCACCTGTGTTCCGTGTTACCTAGGTTTCGTGTCACCTGGGCACTGTGTCGCTGTGTCACCTGTGTTCTGTGTCCCCTGGGTTCTATGCCATATAGGCAGTGTCACCTGGGTTCTGTGTCACCTGGGTTCCGTGTCACCTGGGTTCCGCGTCACTGTGACACCTGGGCTCTGTGTCACCTGGGTTCGGTGTCACCTGGGTTCTGTGTCACTTGTGTTCCATGTCACCTGTATTCTGTGTCACCGTCACCTGTGTTCCATGTCACCTGGGTTCCGTGCCAACTGGGTTCTGTGTCACCTGTGTTCCGTGTCACCTGTGTTCCTTGTCACCTGGGCTCTGTGTCACCTGTGTTCCATGTCAGCTGGGTTCCATGCCAACTGGGTTCTGTGTCACCTGTGTTCCGTGTCACCTCGGTTCCATGTCTTATGGGCATTGTTCCACCTGGGTTCTGTGTCACCTGGGTTCTGTGCCAACTGGGTTCCATGTCACCCAGGTTCACACACAGCTGTCACTGTGTCACCTGGGTTCTGTACCAACTGGGTTCTGTGCCAACTGGGTTCCGTGTCACCGGCGTTACATGTCACCTGGGTTCCATGTCATATAGGTGTTGTGTCACTTGGCTTCTGTGTCACCTTGGTTCCATGTCACCTGGGCTCTGTGTCACTGCATCACCTGGATTCTGTGTCACCTGGGCCCTGTGTCACCTGGGTTCCACGTCACCTGTGCTCTGTGCCAACTGGGTTCTGTGTCACCGCTGCTCCATGTCACCTGGGTTCTGTGTCACTGTGTCACTTGGGTTCCATGTAACCTGGGTTCTATTTCACCCAGGTTCTGTGACATACAGGCATTGTGTCACCTGTGTTCCGTGTCACCTGGGCTCAAGTTTCCATGTCACTGTGTCACCCAGGCTCCATGTCACCTGGGTTCCATGTCACTATGACACCTGGCAGCTCCACGTCACAGAGTCACCTGCGTTCCACATCACCTGGGCTCCACGTCACCTGGGTTCCATGTCAGTTCCATGTCACTGTGTCACCTAGGTTCCATGTCACCCGGGCTCCATGTCACCTGGCAGCTCCACGTCACCATGGCACTGGGACTCAACATCACCTGGGCTCCATGTCACCATGTCACCTGGCAGCTCCATGTCACCGTGTCACCTGGGTTCCACATCACCTGGGCTCCATGTCATTGTATCACCTGGGCTCAACATCAGCCAGGCTCAGTGGCACCACAACACCTGTGAGCTCCATGTCACCAGGGCTCCGTGTCACTGTGTCACCTGGGTTCCATGTCACCTGGACTCCATGTCATCGTGTCACCTGGGCTCCATGTCACCTGGCAGCTCCGTGTCACTGTGTCACCTGGGCTCCACATCACCTGGGCTGTCACCAGGGCGTTGTGTCACTGTGTCACCCAGGTTCCACATCACCTGGGCTTCATGTCATTGTGTCACCTGGGCTCCACATCACCTGGGCTCCACGTCACCTGGCAACTCCATGTCACTGTGTCACCTGGGCTCCACATCACCTGGGCTTCATGCCACCTGGGTTCCATGTCACCTGGCAGCTCCATGTCACCATGCCACTGGTGCTCAACATCAGCCAGGCTCAGTGACACCCGTGGGCTCCATGTCACCAGGGCGTCGTGTCACTGTGTCACCCGGGCTCCACCTCACCACCAGACTCACCCTCAGGCTTCATCCCCACTGCCATCACCGTCCTCATCCTCATCCCCATCGCCGTCCCCAGGCCCTGGGGTGACATGCAGCTCTCCGTGGGGCCCAAAGCTCAGCCTCCAGCCCCGTGGGGCCGCTCCGGGCAGGACGAGGCGGACGTTCACCTTCAGTGGGATCCCAGGTGTGGGTCGCAGGCGGCATTCAGCCGGGAAGTAACGGCGCAGGACGGGCAGCACTCTGGGGCCAGGGGGGGGCAGGCGAAGGGCAGCCAGGAGCTGGGCGGGAGGGCGGGGGGCACGGGAGGCCTCCAACAGCAGGGCGGCCAGGCGGGCGGGAGCGCTGGGCCCCCCCTGGATGTAATGCTCCAAGCCGTCCAGCAGCAGCAAGCCGGGGGGCTGGGCTCGGGCTGCCATTGCCCCCAGCTCCTGGGCAAGGGCTGCCATGGTGGGGGGGTAACGGAGCTCCAGGCGCTGCGGGAAAGGTGGGAAAAGGGAGGTCAGGCCACACCCCCCACAAGCCACGCCCCCTGTCATCAGGCCACGCCCCCAATTCTGGCCCCGCCCACACGCAATAGCGAACACACCAGAGCCACGCCCCCTTTGTTGCAAGCACCGCCCACTCACGCAGCCCCGCCCCTTTCTGCTAGGCCACGCGCATCGTGCGTAATCACGCCCCCACGCACACAAAGCCACGCCCTCACTCAGATAGCCACGCCCCCAAACCCACAAAGCCACGCCCCCGCACCCCACAAACCACGCCCACGCTGAAAGCCTCGCCCTCCATTCTCATAAAGCCACGCCCGCTCAGAAGCCACGCCTCCTCTCACAACCCACACAACCACAAAGCCACACCTCCACACAAAGCCACGCCCCCATGCCCACAAAGCCACGCCCCCCACAGCAACAAAGCCACGCCCCCACCCAAACGCACGGCCTCAATCTCCATAAAGCCACGCCCACTCTCAAAGCCCCACCCCCACGCAAAAGCCACGCCTCCATCCTCACAAAGCCACGCCCCCCACACCCACAAACCACGCCCCCACGCAAAAGCCACGCCCACAACCGCAAACCACGCCCCTATCTCAAAGCCACGCCCACACACATACGAAGCCACGCCCACAAAGCAATGCCCCCCTCACCCCGCCACGCTCCCTATGCGAGGCCCCGCCCACACGCCGAGGCCCCGCCCCTTTCGGCTCCAAGCCCCGCCCCCTCTCACCTGCAGCGCCCTCGGGTCGCCGCCGCCGCCGTCCGGGAGCCGCGATGGAGGGCTGGGCGCTAAGAAGAGCGCTCGGGGCCCGTCTCCTCCTCCCGCCAACGCCGCCCGCAGCAGCAGCGCCGTGCGGCCGGAGCCCGCCGGGCCGAGCACCAACAGCGGTGACTCCGGGACTGACGCGGCCGCCTCCGACCCGGCCGGACCGAGCGCCCGCTCCAGCGCTGCCGCCATTCCGCCTCAGCCAATCGGGGAGCGGCTTCCCTCAGCGCTGCTCCCGCCCACCGCTCGTCTCGACCAATCAGAGGGGAGAATCCCGCGGCGCCGCTCCCTCCCGCCGCGCTCTCCTCAGCCAATCGGAGAGGAGCGTCTCTCAGCTCGCGGCGCGAGCCCCGGCCAATCAGAAGAGGCTTCCTCCCGCTCCCGCCCACCGCGCGCGTCTCAGCCAATCGGAGGGCACGGAGAGGAGGGCGCTCTGCCTTCCCGCCCGCGAACCCCTCTCTCTCCTCGCTTTTCATTGGCCGCTCCAGCCGCCAATCCAGCACCGCCCCGTTTCCCGACGAGTTCCATTTCCCCGCCCCTTTCCGCTCCACTCAGCCAATAGGGAGGCGGTACCCGGGAGGGGGGGCGTGGCTGGAGCTGTCAGTCACTCCCCGCTGCCTGGCAACGCGTTGCTTGGCGACGGCGGGCTGTTGCCGGGCAACGGGGCGAGTCGGGCGCGGCTCTGCGCATGCGCCGACGTGCCGGGATGCACGAGGTGCACCAGGAGGCACGGGGATTGGATGCACGGGGATGCACAAGGATGCAGGGGGTTGCACGACGGTGCACGAGGAGACGCCAGCTTGCACGACCATGCATGGGCGTGGACACACGAGGATGCAGCAGGGTGTATATGAATGTGTGGGGTCAGGGGCGTGAGGGACGTGCAGTGTTGCACGGGGATTCACAGGGGTGGGTGCACGAGGATGCAACGGGGATGCACGAGGATGGCTGCCCAGGGCACACGGGGGTGCACGGTGTTGCACAGCGTCGCACGAGGGATGCACGATGCTGCACCAGAATGATGCGTGATGGGGCACGAGGGTGCAAAATGATGCACTAGGATGCACAGGGTTGCACTAGGATGCACGAGGGTGCGTGGAGATGCACGTGGAGGATGCACTTGGTGCACAACGGTGCACATAAAGGGAGGCATGAGGTTGCACGAGGATGCATGAGGATGGGTGGATGCACGAGGTGGCACAACGGTGCACAGGGATTACGAGGATGCTCAGAGTGGCACCAGGTTGCACGGACTTGCACGAGGATGCACAAGAGCGCAGAGGATACATGGACACAGATGCACGCTGACACTGAAGTTGCCCAGCCGTGTGCACATGGTTGCACGAGGCCGCATGCCATTGCACCAAGATGCACGGGGATGCAGGTTGTGGCACAATATGGCACAGGGAGGCACAAGGATGCACGGCGTTGCACGAGGGTGCACGGGGAGGCACGAGGGTGCAGAGCATGCACGGGGACGGATGCATAGGGACAACCGAGGACGCCTAAAGCTTCACTGGAGATGCCCGCGGGCTCACGAGGATGCACGGCCTCGTGCACGAGGGGATGCACGAGGATGCACGAGGGGATGCACGAGGAGGCCGGCTCGGGGCGTCCCCTCGGCTACGCGTATTCTCCAGCAATAACAGCGCGGCCGTGTTATCCGCCCGAGAATACCCGTCACCGCGGGGCGCGGGGGGGGCATCCGGGGGGAGGGGGGGAGAACGAGGGGAGGGGAGGGGGAACGAGGGGAGGGGAGGGGGAAACGGAGAGGGGGAGGAGGGATTCGAACCCGCGACGGAGGAACCCCTGGGCGGGGCCTCGAGGGCCGCGGGGTGGGGGCTCAGCACCACGGACAGCGGCAATGGGGCTCTAATGCGGGCTGTGGGGTTCCATAGAAGTCTATGGGGGTCTATGGGGGTCTATGGGGGCTGTTGGGGTTCAATAGGGGTCTGTGGGGGTCTATGAGGGCTGTTGGGGTGCTATTGGGGTCTGTGGGGGTCTATGGGGCTGTTGGGGTTCAGTAAGAGTCTATGTGGTTCTGCACTAAGGACAGCGGCAATGGGGGTCGAATGGGGGCTACTGGAGTCCCATAGGGCTCTGTGGGGCTTGAATGGGGGCTACTGGGGTTCTATAGGGACCTATGGAGGTTAATGAGAGCTGTTGAGGTTCTATAGGGTCGGTGAGGGTCTATGAGGGCTGCTGGGGTTCAATAGGGGTCTGTGGGGTCGAATGGGGGCTGTTGGGGTTCTATTGGAGTCTATGGGGTTCAGCACCACGGACAGCGGCAATGGAGCTCTAATGCGGGCTGTGGGGGTTCCATAGAGCTCTATGGGGGTCTATGGGGGTCTGTGGGGGTCTATGGGGGCTGTTGGGGTTCTATGGGGATCTGCGGGGTCTATGGGGGCTGTTAGGGTTCTATTGGGGTCTGTGGGGGTCTATGAGGGCTGTTGGGGTTCAATAGGGGTCTGTGGGGTTCAGCACCACGGACAGCGGCAATGGGGCTCTAATGAGGGGTGTGGGGTTCCTAAAGGGGTATGTGGGGGTCTAATGAGGGCTACTGGGGTTCTATGGGGTCTGTGGGGGCTGTTGGG